TCGTCCCCGTTTCACTACGTGTCGGCGAAACGGGGCGGCCGTGGCCACCGGGAACATAGTGTAACCTTAGCAAAAGGGGGAGGTCACGTGGTCTATGACTGAGTAAGAAGTCCCCCTTAAGCTCTGCCGCTAAAGTGAAAATATGAGGCCCATCCAACTCGGATACACACCCAAAAAGGGTAAGAAGAGGCAGAAGAAGCCTGAGACCCCAAAACAAGTCAGCCCAGCGGTCCGTTAATCGTGCACGGGATATATCTCCGTTTGACGTTGAAAGCGACGCTGAGAGTGACATTGAGGCATCAACATGGCGAACCACTTAGGCCTACCGCAGACGGCGAGCCCCAGAAACTATAACGATGACCACGCTCTACCAAGCAATCGTATCTGCCAAAAGTGAGTTGAGAACCGAAATGCAAAATCTCAAGTCCTTGACTGACTTTGTTTATGCGAAATGGACGCATCATTTCTAGCAATCACGAGAAGAAGCGATTTCTGAGGTCACGGTGACGCAGAATGGAATGTCGGTGCGCGTGACCCAGATCGAGGGCCAGGCGAGGATGCGAGACATGGAGCGTTACTCACGTTAGTTCAACGTTTTGGTTCACGGTATTCCCCAGGAGAAAGATGAAGATACCATGGCTCTTATCGTCCCTTTATGCAGCAAGAACTTGGTCTTGCCAACGCAGAAACCTAGGATTGAAATCGCACAAAGACTTGGGAGACAAACTGGAAACAAAACACGTCCTGTTATTGTTACATTTTACTCTCATCTCCAGAAATCACAGGTCATGTCTCAAGCTCGGATTAAGATTCAGGGCAAGAAGATTTTCCTCACACAGGACTTGATCAAAGAGGACAGGGATCTTAAGACTAATCTCAGAACGGTGATGGACGCTGCCTTCAAAGACTAGAAGAAAATCGTTTTCATCCGGGGTCAGCTTTTCATTTATAATGTGCTCTACAAAGGCCCAGAAACTCAGGGTTACTATTGACTTTTCGCATTGAATGTACATGTTAAAATGCTCTACAGTTTAAGTATTTCATGCAATGTGTCTTCATTAACCCATGATTGTCGTAAAATGTTACTAACGGGATCGGGTGGTCAGGCTCGCTGAATCTCAGTTGACATTGCGCATGATGTAAATCACTGGATCGTCTGGTGCAGATAAACCTGTGAAGATCCGGGTTGGAATTGATCTTCAGTTACCCATGCTTGTCGTAGGAGGCGACTAACGTGTTCGGATGGTCAGGCCCGCTGACTTGTTTGACACATGTCATCGGTTCCCAATTGCGCAGATCCTCAAGCTGTTGATCAGTGGATTGTCTGGTCCAGACTTGATCATTTACAGACCGCCGCCATATAGCTGGAATATTGCTGAGTGCGGTGTGAAACTAAACTCACTCTGGTCAAAACTCAGTTCTTTACAAACTACCATCAAATAACTTGTATTCTGCAGAGTGGGTTTTTATACAAGCAAACACGTGTGTAAAAGAGGTTTGAAGAATACATAATCTTTTTGTCATGTCCTTGAATATTTAATGCCTCTATGTGGTTCAAACTCTTGTTTTGTTAAGATCCTTCATCGTCTGTATGTGAAGGTTTGCTCTTCTGTGTCACCCAGGTATTCAAGGAGATGTTGGCCTCAACGAGGAGGGACGGGTATTTAGTGTGGAGAGACACACTACCTTAGGAAGAGACAACAGTGGGAACGTGGTTGGCACAGCGCGACATACCGGGCTCGAAGAAGATGACCAGGGTAACATCCATGGAGCTGAGATTACTCGCGCTGTCAACATACCACGACAGAGCGAAGGTAAGATATGCACACAAACTTGGCCAAAACCAGCTATCGAGGTGGGGAAAAATCTGTCTTGCTTTATCGATCTTATGTACAAATTTATAGATCTCAGGATTTACAATCCTGCATCACCATGGAACCGTTGTTGACGGCTTTGATGAAATTGGGGATACGGCGGTTCGTAGTGGGTATCCGTGAATTTAGGAGGCAGTGCCGGGCTCCATTTATGGTGTTGGTGAATTGTTTGGACGGTTACCTGTGAAGATCCGGGTTAGAATTGGTCTACAACAAGCCATGGTTTTAACAAACAAAGCTCAACATCTGAAATCTCGTTTCCTTCTGGTCTGAGCTGCTATTTCATAGGGGATCACAAATCAATGTTTATGTCTTCTGATGTCATTAGTCATACAAATCTAAAAATTATGTACGATTCTACTATTTTGAAATGTGATTCATAATAATATAATATATAATCAAAATTCATTTATATAGCGCCTAGTATCCATCTGACTAGTTTCTCACTGGACGCTATAATCTGATTACTATTACCCCGGATAACCCAAGTTGCCTCTTAGGCGCTAGAAAGTTATAGTCACATGACTTTATGCAACCGGGTACCTATTTTCTGCTGGGTGAACAGAGGCAATTTTTGAACAAACATCCTAGCCTAAGGTGAGACCACATGTATCACATGTGCTTCGTTGTGGGGCAGGACTGAAGTTTTAGAAACTCTCAGGAGTCAAGCTGACAAACATAGTCACCCATCCAAGGACTCTCCGCTTAATTTCAACTGATTTGTGACCTGAGCTCTGCGCACAGGACCACACACCGCAACAATAATCATTTGTTCTCATGAGTTGTACAATCTATTTTTAAGTTTACATTGCAGTAACACTCAATGAAACACTCAACACTCTGAAACTAGTTATTTAACCTTATTTTAACGAAATCAACTGATTTTCACGAGCTAGGATATGGACTTGCCTTTTGGCATCATTTACATAGTTTTGCCTTTGGATCATGCCCTTTTTATGCAGGTACTTAATCTTTGCTCGTATGTCATTGTTTAATTGCACGCAGTTTCTCTTAACTTGGTTTCTCGAGAACAGACATAGCTATCAGCATGTAGCTTGGTAATATGTCTTGGAAGAAACATACTTTAGGCATAAGTTAAACCTCAAAATGCACAGAGAAATCTATAGGAGTCTGCGGATGTTGCCATTTACTCTTGTAACACTTTCCTGGTAAACGAATACATAGCATAAGATTTTAAAGTGAGGTACATAACAGGAGTCTCATTTGTGATCAAGTGACTGGCTGATTAAATCTGACACATAATACATTAGGATATATATGTGCGGCTATGTTGCAGTTGGATATACAGGGGTAGGAAAGACCGGCTGCTTTTCAAAGAGTGAGTATACTTCTTTTATTGTGAAAAGATCTTTAGGATATTTTTCATCGCTTTCTTATCTGCAGTAAAATACATGTCTGTTATGTTTCATTTATCAAGAATTTCCGATCCTAAATTTCTGTGAATGTGGAAATATATGAACATGAATATACACAAATGTATTCGGTAACTCATTTGTGTTCAAGAATGATGAAAAATAAAATGGAGATACAAATGGTTTCAAACTTTAAACGCTTTTATTGCATCAAGGTGTTACCTTACTGGGATCATGTACAAGAGAGAGAAAAAACATATAGTGTTTTAAGTGAGTCTAAACACACACACATATAATAGCATGTGCAAATATCGTGCATGTGAACAGCCGCGTTTTGGTGTAATGTTTTGATAAGAATTTTTATCATTTATTGAAGTCATGACAATATTGTTTTCAACGTTACGAATTACATCACATAAGTTCGTGTGTAAACTGTACCTTTAAACATTATGGAATATTTTGCAAAATCTAGTTTAGAACAGTTGCCTGAGGTAAGTGGCTATATTTACACTTTACAGACTAAATTTTGGAAAGGATGCGTATTTGAGCAACGTTAAAAAAGTGTATATTTCATGCTTGTAACATATTCAGTTATGGTGGCTTCAACAGACCTTGTGGATAGAAATACAGACAAATATTACAAAGTCATGATGTTAATCTATATTTTTGCATTTTAACAGGAAAATTTGTCGTGGTAGTGATCTTCATGGTTGTGTCCTCGATACCGATAGCTATGGCAGTCATTGGTAAGCTCTATGAATACAAGTTGAAAGGAGGAATTCATAACAATTTTCTAATTTGAAAATTCAACAATATTCGATTGCAGTATACCAGTCATAGTGAAGTAAAACCTCCTCTAACTACACCTTGGAGAACCACCAACTGTGTTGGTTGAACTTCCACTGCCTAGACCCACTAACCATCGCATACATCATATTAGAATAGCCTTACTGGGAAGAACAATACCACATGTATCAAAATCGGTTCTCTTACTTCAATACACTACTTGACTGCCTGGAGATGTACTGAGGTCGTGTCGGGAGAATATAATTTTATTTATCAGTCAATCAACATCAAGGTTTCAAAGTCGAACTGAGCAAAGAATTCCAACAATATATGAATTCTGTATCTCGGAATCGAATATATATCAGTAAATTTCGGCTGCCATAAGCCTTGTATGTCCTGTGTGGATTTTCATTGTTTATTGAAAGATGAACCACTATCTGACGTTGGTAAGAGACGTTCTGCCGCCATATGGTTTGGTTACAAGTAGTTCCAGCACTATTTGGCCGTGTGAACATGCCACTACTATACATGTATGCTGCGGTTAGTGAAGTCCCACATCAGCCTGCCGTGTCTAGTGGAAATTTAACAGTCACATTCTGCAGGAGATGGACCCACACCTATATGACGAATTACATATGATTCACAATTAATAAAGTGAAGCCGAATCATTTTAGAAAGCTGTAATCTGATTGCCTCAAGAACCCAAGAATTCTTCATTTACATTTGAAGGTCAAAGTTCGATCAGGTCCGTCCTATCTGTCTAAAACATCTGGTTGTAACTGGGAGCAACCACTAACATTACACTACTTGGAACTGCTGTTTCCTTTGCAGGTATCAAAGCACTTCTTGATCCCAAAGTTACTTGTCACTTCATGATTGAACTCTACCTGGCAGCGCATGGCCTGTACTCAGTGCTGGTCCTGTTCGTCTCATGTTTGAACGTCTCTGGAATTTGCGTATGCTCAGACAAAACCCAACAGCGCTGTCACGGATTGATGGCATATTTCTATATCGGGTTCTGTTTTGAAGGTGAGAGAATGTGTTGGTGGGTGATGAGTGAGTGGGTGGGTGAGTGAGTGAGTGGGTGGGTGAGTGTGAGTGGAAGGTTGTGTGAGTGAGTGTGTGAGTGGGTGTGTGTGTGAGTAAGTGAGTGGGTGGCTGAGTGAGGGAGAGAGAGGTTTCACGAGGCAATATTCCAGGAATATCACGGCGGGAGACACCAGAAATGGGTTGGTTTTGATTGGTTGGTTGGTTTATTAACGTCGCACTCAGCAATATCCCAGCTATATGGGATCTATAAACAAGCGAGCCTAAAACCAGATAGTCCAGTGATCAACAGCATGAGCATCGATCTATGCAATTAGAATTCGATGACACAGCTTGAATATTGCTGAGTTTGGCGTAAAACTAAACTCACTTACTCATTAGTTATATGACGCCTCTGTAGTTGGATTTCTTCATGGTGTTGGGGGTACAGGTGTGTTGGCAAAAAGTGGCAAGACTGGGCAGCCATTACTGTAATTCCAAGAAGTGGGAAATATCAAAAAAAGAAAAGCTACAGAAACGAAACAGGATCATCAACAGGGTAGCCTCGAAGTATAACCGTTAACCCGTCACACGGGTTCGATTCCCCACATGGGTACAAAGTGTGAATCCAGATTAGAGTGTCCCCCGCCATGATACTGCTAAAAGCGGTGTAAAACTCACGAGGTTTAATCTAAACATTAAAACAGAAAATCTTGCATCGTATATTCTAGCGATTTTACATATTTCAAATGCCTGCCTTGTTTAAATCGTGATGCATTTGGGTTAATCAGTGATGCGTTTATTCTTTCATTCGTGATGCATTTATTGTTGAATCCGTGAAGCATTTATTGTTTAATCCTTGATGTGTTTATGCAGGCGCATATGCAGTGGCTGGGTGTTTCTGCGAGGGCCAGATATATAATGAAGCACTGGCCTTCCTGATCGTCATGTGGATTGTCCCGTTCATCATCATATGTCTGGTCGCAGCGATAATAGACGAGAACTAACCACGTGTAACAGATGCTGACAACTCATCACCTCACAGTGAACGAAACAAGTAGTATGAGGACCGTGACTGGCCAACTCAACAAATGTACAAGCTGTGAAGTAAAACCGACATCGCCCTTTCAAAGAAATAACTTGAAATGTGAAAATATAATTTTATCAGATAAATCTTTTATCATTTCACGAGACCATATTTGTATGTTTGCAAAACAATGCTTGAAAAAGACATAAACCACGGCTTAATTGGCCACAAGTTATATCTTCAACAAAACATGGGGACGGTATGGTTCACAAATGTTGAATCATCGCTTATGGACTTGGAGCTGCAGCGAATCCACATTCTGTTAGTTGAGAACTGTTAGGAGGTGGAGGGGTAGCATGGTGGTTAAAGTGCTCGCTTGTCACGCCGAAGATTTGGGTTCGATTCCCCACATGGGTACAATGTGTGAAGCCCATTTCTGGTGTCCCCCGCTGTGATAATATTGATGAGAGCGGCGTAAAACCATACTCACTGAGAACTGTTATGAACAATCGTAAGCTGTCAATCCCTTGAATGAATTTCAGGAAGATATTTGAACATCTTCCCGAAGTTCCCGCTTGATACCTTCAAGAAGCCAGTTATGTTCATACTCGCATGTTGTCTGCATAACACGTAATTTCCCGTCACCTGTATTGGCAATGCCTGATTATAAAGAATGATTTTTACTTTGCATCGGCAATATTGAGGCCATATAGCGATGAGAACAAGTTGAATAATATTTAAAAATCTGTCTACAAAGGACAGTACAATAGTATGTTCAGTATCAAACCAATTCTTCATTAAAAATATTACTTTGTATGACTATTATTTAGTATTAATTACAACTAGGCTATAGACCACTAGCGACCAATGTAATACCACCTTCCTGGGGATCAAAGGGACTTACTTATGCTTCCGACATGATTCCCAGGCCATCGCTTTGGCCACCAGTGGTTGTATGCAAGGTAAATCAATAATAAAAACTTAAGTACAATTGAGCAATTAAAACACCAGTCTATGCTATGTACTTTACTTAATGTGTACTTACGTGCGACTGTCAAGGGGACTATACTTTAACCCCCAGAGTGACACCGCCATCAGTAATTTTAGTTGGTGATAACATCACACTAATCATATAACAAAGTTATTCAAAATTTATCAAATAATTTTATTTCCTTTAATAAACCAAGAGTGAGTGAATGAATTAAAATTTAAAGCCACATCGGCAATATTTCAGCCATATCGTGACTAAAACAACTTTAGAATTCACCATAAATACATGTAAAAAAGGTCATCGAAGGACAGTTAACTGACTATAATATCTCAGTTTCAAGAAATAAAAATAGCATCTCTTTTTAAAATTGGATTTTAAATTAGGACAATACAGTATAAAATGGGCTATAAATCGCCAACAACTGAAGGTAGATCACCAACCAGGAAATGCATTGCTTTTGCTACCTGCATAGACCCTAGTTGGATTACACCATCCCTTCAGCCATTGGCGTTGATGCTGAGATTTAGCCATACATTAAAAACACAAAAATACTACGATTAAAAACCTGGTACACTTAAATTGACTTGAAATGTTTTGGGACTTACGTACCCACTCAGGAGGACAATAGGTTTACGCTACTTCAACCCCCTTTGAGGGTACCGCCACTAACAATCTCAGTTACTAATTTAAACTTCCAAAAATAAAATATAAATCTATTTGCAAATCACTTAACAAATCTAATGAGAACTGACATTATTAAAAAGATCCTTCATAGTTCGTGATTTGAAATAGTTATCCCTTGTGATGGAATATTCAACACAGTCAAGCAGGACGTGCTTGACCGCTTGATACAAAACGGAGGATCTTCACCTTTAAGCAAATATTCATGTGTATATCTTGTGTGGCCAATACGACATCGTCGTATGATGACCTCTTCAAATCTGGACTGACAACCCAATGAATGAATGAATTATTTTTAAACAATCATATGTTTGGTAAACCCATCATTAGGCATTGCACATTATGCCTTCAGTCTATAGGGTTCGGGGTAGTCAAGTTAACGTCAAAAGAGTTTATTCTATTTAAGACCCCCCACACAAATATACATTTGTAGATAAAACATAATATACAAATAATATACAAAACACATAATGGAGAGACAAAATTGTTTAACAGTTCAGTTCTTAATCTCATACTGTGTTTGATAAATAGAGACAGATTAAGAATATCGTTATTATTTTGAGAAGACAATAATGATGTAAAATCTAAAGCAGGTGGTTTTAACAAAAACGGGTGTGGAATGTACTTGCTACTGAGAAAAGAGTAGGATGGACAAACTAGCATAAATTGAATTTCATTCTCAACTGCGGATTTACATAACGGACAAGTTCTGTTCTTATTTATGGACATTTTCCTGCTTTCGGTTATCATTAAATCTAAGAAACCAAGTCTATATTTGTTAAAAAAAATTTTAAATCTCTACAATTTAAAATAAACAAATATTTTCAGGCTGAAGTGAACTTTTTTAATGTCCTGTAACGATCATACCTTGAGCAGTCATGAAGGGTAGAATGTCAATCCTGATAGAACATAATAAAAGCTTTGAATTTTAAATTATATAAAAAGAGATAAATATTTCCAATGGTTTGGTTCATCCAAATAAAACCCAAACCATGACAGAACAAAATGTTTTTTACATGGGACGCCCATGTTATTTTATCGATGTTTTCTAAGTGTAAAAGCATATTTTAAGCCAGCTTTGGAATTCTATTTGTATGCTTACGAATAGGTTTTATCCAATATTTCAAGCATCTAATCTGAGAATTTATATATAATGGGTGTCTTCCACATTCGCTGTAAATCATACAGTTTTGGTGTAGATAATCCAACGGATAAATATATTTTACACGCTAAAGGTGAAGTTTTTTAAACAATCATATGTTTGGTAACCCAAATATCAGATTCATATAACATTATTGGTTGTATTTGCGAATCAAAGAGTTTAAAAATATTTTAGGTGAGGTAATTCCAATTTTATATGAAACAGACATAACGTTGAATAAGGCTTTCTTTGCTCTTGATACTACTTCTTCTATGCTTTTAGAAAAGTTCATAGTTGTATAGGTAAAAAAAGAGACCAAGATATTTATAATGACTATGAATCTAAAGATGAATCCCATTTAGTACCCACTTTTCATTTACGGATAACAACCCATCCCTTCTGAAAGTTTGTTTTGTCGTAATTAACCGATAACTTCCATTCGTTTGTGTAACGTCCCAAAATATTAAGTTGATTTTGTAATCCTACAATAGAGTCTGAAATTAAAGATGACATCATTGGCAAAAAGTAGAATTAGTATTTCAGTCATATCTGGGAATATCTGAATACCGTGTTTTCCATTATTAGCAATATCATAATACAATTCATTAATGAAAAATGAAAATAACTTTTGGCTTAAAATACACCCTTGTCTTAATCCGGGTGGACACGCTCACATGATTTTATATTAGAATACATAGACTTTAAAACGGAATACATTTCCCCACGTAATCCGGTCTTTAGCAGACAATACCACAATTTAGAACGATCAACAGAACCGAAAGCTTTTTTAAAATCGATGAACGCTATATACAATTTTTGTTTTAAGCGTGAAAGACATTTTTGAACTATTACTTGTAATCATATGTATGTAATGCATATTTGAGCACACACAATTTCACGGAGAATTTACATGAACGAAATTATCACATATCTTCTATCAGAGGATACATAAATTTATCCCACCCACGGTGAGGTGAGTGTCGCTTGAACCAGGGCAAACGGAAAAGATAAAACTACATTTATTAACCAAAACGAGGCAATATACCCAGCGCATTTGGAAGTAAATTGACAATGTCTGGATATTGCAGTCATTTTCAAATGACGAAAGAACACGCTGAATATTAGGGGCTTACAGGGATACTCAAGTCCTCGAACACGCGTCGGGTTTCGCTGGACTCGGGTCCACTTAAAAAAGGGGAGATCACTTTAATTGGGTTACGTTGTCAAACTGTCTCCGAAAAGCAGGTCTCTCTTGGGACAATTGACAACTTTGGAATAAAAAAATGTAGATAGAAAGTGGAACGAAAGGGTGTCACAGTAAACAATGCTCGAGACCTTTGACTACCAAACATTGTGCACGTTTTTCGTGCATTCTGTGCCGAGTTAGTCCCAAAGTCCCATGTTCAACCACTCTCCCCAATTACATGTACTTGCACAAGACTTTTATCAAAGCTCCGAGGTAAAGAAACAAACTTCAATCTATTTCGTATGTTGCACTCACCACAGACATGGGGACAAGCATAGCAGCACAAGGCCACATTACAGTTAGGCTCACTTTCCTAACAATTGGGTACTTGGGTCGTGTGTGCTGGCCACATGAAGAGCAGAAGAACGCCATACCGGCGAGAATATAGGACGGATTTTATATTCTGTCCTGAATTTGGAATGGCTAAAGTAGTCGGCCTAACTACTGGAAATCCGAGCAACATGTCTCTGGCGTAAAAGACACCAGGGCATCCTCGTGTGAGATGGTTCGCCCACACTTTTTCAACTAGCAGTCAATGATGGTTTGAAACTTCATTCTATTGAAAATATGCTGGACAGTGGTAATGTTTTTTGGGAATGTCAACTCCGGCAACTCATCAACTAAGAGAACATCAAGGAAAACTTGGTAAACTTTCAACAAATGTTATTACCGACGTGGTGACTAGTTGGAATTCTGCCTATTTCATGTTAGACATCAAAGCTGTGCTGCATGAAAGAAACACAAGGGATGGAATCTAAAAGATACAAACTTGAGTTTGCTGGAGAACCTTGTGGTGACACTGAAGCCACTAGTATCCGCCACAGAAGTCCCTTGCACCTGAAAGTGTCAGACTTGGACACGAATATCATTGCAGACATGATGACATCCTTCGCAAAGGGTCTCGAAGGGCATCTCTTCAAACACGAATTTTAGAAGAGACCCTAACTCCTTACCCAAACCCTCTAATGATTGCAACGGCCCTGGACCCTTGTTACAAAATTCTGCGGCTCCTGACAGATGATAAATAAATGACAACGAAAACCATATTATTGAGTTGGTCGAGCGCGGCAATACACCTGATCCTACAGAAGAACGCCCTGGTTTCCTGTGAAGGAGGAACAAGAGCCAGATTTGCCAGCAAAAACACCCCAACAACAAAATTCAAATTTTGCGAGAATGAATTTGAAAATGCTACGTCATTTCTCTTGGATAGCAACATCGAAATCGATGATGACGAGAACCTTCACAAAGATGCCAGAGCTGAGTATAATGATTATCTGTGTGTATATAACAAGCTGTCTGTGTCGTCAACGCTAAAATAGTTAACCTTTGGTTGGTGGCGGGAATATGCCAACTTATTTCCACGAATTGCAGCATTGGCTTAGGAACATCTTTGCATACTTGGTAAAAGTGCCCCATCCCACAGAGCTTTCTCTACAGCCGGTGTCACGATCACCAAACAGCGGGCATCACTTGATTCAAGCACAGCAGATGCAATCATCTTCCTGAATAAAAACCTGAGAAATTCTCTATAAATCTTGTCTGTGTCAACGCCTTGTCCACCAGTGCAAGGAGTCGTGAAGGTGGAGCCGGTTGATTCCATTCCTCAGATTCGAATGAGTCTGGTGAAACTAACATCACTCAACCGCCACTTTCTGATTTCTCAAACAGATGGTGAAGCTTTCAAGTTCTGAAACTAGTTGCTTATTGACGTTCGAGTTTAAATGGTTCAAAGTTTATAGTAACATTTTTCATACAGCAATTTAGAAGATGTTACACTTCTATGATAGTGTCAACGCGTGTTATATGGTGGTTCACTGGAGGATTGATGATGTTTAAGAGGAAGTGTACGCACAATACGTTGACAAGACGAAGGAATACGTTGAGTTCAAACTTCTTTAGTTACATGACAAACAAATGCACAAGACATAAATGAGGTGAGTACCTGCTCAACCCAGGGCGTTTCCTACGAGCCGCATTCTCCTGCTTGTGGTCGTCCCTACAGACAGTCAGAATACTGGACTCGTACTCCTTCACAATCTAGATGTGAGCATACTAGAATATATATACAGTGTTTGACAACAATGGACAGGCGACGACTCATCAATGGACAGACAGAAAAACAATAGCACATATTTATTGAAGAGAATGGATTGGGTACAAGTTATGCCAACTTAGTGAAACCCTCTCCTATTTACAGTGCTTACATACAAAAGTGAAACAAACTAAATGTACAGGGATAGAAAGATATATACAAAATGATATATACAATACAATGAATACATGAATTATTTAGATCATACACATTATATCCAATCACTGAACCTTTTGGAATTTGATATATATTTTTGAACTTCTTTAGAAATTTGAATATTGTCACTATACGGAAGATCTGCAATGCCATTTAATAGTACGTCTAGGTTAGTTGGTGCTTTAATGTTACAAATTCTGCTAATATTTTGAAACATTTCCTGTCTGATAACAGAATACAAAGAACATTCCATAAAATAATGTTGAGAATTTTCAAAGGGAAATTTACAATTACATTCGGGGTTCTCTATGAGACCGATCCTATATAGATCACCATCACTATATAGTAAACCAGTAACTATCCTGGCGGCCTCAAACTGAACTTTTTCAATTTTATTGGTTAAGTCTACCGAACAACCCTCCCACAATTCACAAGCATATTCAAGATGTGGTCTTATGAATACAATATACAAATCCTATTTAGAGTGTCTCTGTTTAACATGAACTTTAATTTTCTTATTGATGAAACCATCAAGGACGTTGTTTTTACAATGTTATCAATATGTGTGTTCCATTTACAATCAGAAGATGTTTATGAGATTTATCCAAACGTACACACTGAGTTTAAAATTCTAAATTTAGAATTGTATTATTATTCTTAAGACTGAAAAGTATAGCTTCTGTTTTGTTGGGATTGTATGTCACAAGCCAACGTTTTGCCCGGCACGATAAATATTGTAGGTTCTTATTGAGTGTCTCTTGCATACGCCTGTGATTGATAGATGAAAATCCCATTGATGTATCAAGCGTGCAGCACAATCTAGTTCAACGGCAATATCATTAACATATACTATAAACAGAAAGGGGCACTTCCTTGACCAGTTGGTGTGATGGCAGACACGGCCAAGGGGGATTACCAATGAAGGTTATAAATGTCTTATGCAATAATTAATGGGCTGACAAGTCAATGTACAATGCGGTAGTGATAAGGATGTACAGTAATGATTAAGAATACAGGTTAGCGTCATTGATAAATAAACAGGAACGATGAAACAAACCAATGAGGAAAAAGTATTGCTTTTGTATCTACTTATAATCCGTTGAACCCAAATGTATACCAGAACATAAATACAAATATGTCTATCTTAGAACAAGATGAAAAACTGAAATCAATGCTGAAATCTAGAAAAATAATAAATAGCAAAAGATAAAATCAGAATCTTAAAAAATACTAACAAAAGCCAAATTTATTTTAAAGAAACAGAATGTATCAAATCCTACTGTGTCCAGATGTAACAGAAGTAACTGTGGAACGTGTCGACATATTGTTGAAGGACACTCTGTAACTTTCACGAGACACGAAGAATTCTATGTAAAACAGAATTTTGACTGCTCTTCCAACAACATAATATATGTCATAACATGCCACAGGCTGTAATGATTAGTATATTGGTCAATCCGAAAATTTAAGAGCCCGGGTTCGTGTCCACAAACAAAAAATAAAGTGTCCTGAAACCCGATGGATCCCACTGAGTGAACATCTAGATGTCTGTGCGAAAGGATACGATATTGACTTTACAATATTTCCTTTTAATAAAGTTCAAACTTCGGACAAAGTAAAACGAATTTTAAAAGAACACTACTTCATAAACAAGTTCAAACCGCTACCACGCCTCGGACTAAACATCGTGCACAACTATTGGCGTGTTTTCGGAGTCTATTCTATACTTAATTGTTTAAATGTTTATATCAACTTACGTTGATATATTTGCCAAAACTTGCATTCTATCGGTTAAGGTGTGTCTGAGATTATGATGTTTGTTAACAAGTTTGTAACACACAGACAAACCGTAACGCAACTATGGGCCAGACTCGATTATTTACAGACCACCGAGGTATAGCTGGAATAGTGCTGAGTGCGGCGTTAAACAAGCAATCATCAGTTAACGTGTATTATAATTCACGCTTCAAAAGGAGCACAATTGGGATATGAAAGATGAGGGGCCACGTACGGTCCTCTGATCCCAAGAGGGTGAAGATATCCACTTGCCGCGATCTTGTGGGTCAGAGAAGGGTCAAGCCCATCGTTGGTGAATGTTGCAGTGAGGTATTCTCTCTGCTTAGGAAATCGACTGTCATCAGCATCTTCAGGTATTTCATCGTAGACATGAGTGTACTTGGGCTCGTTTAGAGAAAGGTGGGCATCTTTCAGATCCTCCTTGTCTGTAATCTGTCGGTTTCGTCTCATCCTAGAAACATAAACATCCATTAAGATCACGAATCTAATTGAGCTCATTCATAAGAAGCCTTTCATTTCGTTGACTTCACAATTGAAAAAAAAACGGATTAAATTGTTTCGGGTATATGAAATAAGTATACTATAAAAACGTACCTGAACCACAAGCACTGGAAAACAACGATAAGCAGCAGGGAGGCCGACATTACACCCAGGCCGATTACCATGAGCATATTCACATCAGATGATCTCACTGGAAATTCAAAATGCAACAGATAGTTATATCTGGTCTTATTCTAGAAAACATTATTTTACTTTTTCACAGCGCGTCAAATTCTTAGAATAATACTGTTATAGCTGTAACGTTTTAAGTCAAAATGAAAAAAAATATGTTACATTGGAAATACAGTTTCATTATCTAATGGTAAATGATACCATTCCGAAAGATCAATACTCCGTTGACGGACTGGTACACTCAGTGCCAGGTTCCAGATACCGTAATCATACTTAAACTTAACTCAAACTCCTTATCTTAAGAAATGTATAATACTTTACTTATTATTCATCAACTTCTAAAATGCCAATCAAACAGATCCTAATCTTAAACTCAACTGACCTTCAGGGAGTTTGTCAACTGAAGATGTATCATCAGTAATGTTTTTCAGGGCTGTTGACGGCTCAGTCTGTGTTTCGTCCAGCAGACAGTCTCCGGTCCTTTGGTCACAGTTCTCGCAACCAAGAGTACACCGTTTGGAGCAATCAACACCGTAGTAGCCATTCGGACAAGCTGTACCAGACCCCTTGAAGAGAGCCAAAGAATGCTGACTGGCACTACATTCTCCCGTCACCTTGTCACAGCGAACACATGACTTTGGACACTCCTTGGTGCAGCCGTCTCCATACAAACCATCCCCACATTGGTCAGTACAGGCTCCAGTGTCGCGGTCACACTCCGAGCATGGGTACGGACATCCCTCCAGACAACTGATGCCTCTCCATCCCTTTACACAGCCTTTAGTGCAAATCTCAGCACCCCGTTCCGTTAGGTGACACTTACCTTCAACGCAGTGGTTCGAACATTTTGCTTTACATCTCAGTCCATAACTCCCAACAGGACATATGATAGCAAAATGTGCACACCTGTTATTTGCGCACGTATTTAGCTCTAGGTTGCAGGCCATTCTAGGCAGAAGCGGTACACATCGAGCTGCAGTTAAAGAGAGACAAAAGGCATTTCAGTACAAGCATACCCTATGGTCACAGATCGTCATCTGCTTGGTGCTGTGAAAATACATTTCAATAACTTACTTTATGGTTTTATCCTTTAGAAGGACGAATTATTACATATATTAAAAGATGTATGATAAATACGATATACATTTAGCCGAAATGTGTGTTTTTTTCATCAGTTGTGTTTTCTTCGGCCCCAATACAGATAAAAAGTATCATGAATGCGCTTGCTCAAAAATGAAATCATGGAAAAAAAAGTTGTGAAAAAAAGGTGTAAAAAGTATGGGGTCAGTAGAAAACAAATAGTGACGTACCATCATTTGGAGCTGCTAGCATGGCAAATACCAAGCAGGTATAAACCTGGCTTAATGTCATCTTTCAAGGTATAACTGAAACAACAATGTTCAGTAAATTTCCTTACTTATAAATATCACCTGTGAGAATTGGTCTTCAGTAACGCACCTACTTGTCGTAATAGGTGACTAACAGAATCGGGTGGTCGGTCAAGCTGACTTGGTGGACACACATCACCGTATCCCAATTGCGTTGATCGATGTTCAAGATGTTGATCACTGGATTGTCTAGTCTTGATTGTTTTAGCAAACTCATAGACTTAGTAAAAAATGAATAAAATTTTATGTAGTATATATGAAAATCTCAAAAAGTTTCATTAGCCGTTTAGGTGTCTGACAAGGCTGCATTTTAAGTCCCTTTCTGTTGACATTTTTAACAATGAATCAGCTGTGCAAATACGTGATAACTGTACAGAAGGGTTCCAGTTACATCCTGATTTAACTCAGTTGTTCTTGTTACTATTTGCGAATGATATTGTCTTGTTTTGTAGCACAAGTGGTCTGCAGAAACAAATTGATCAACTTGAAATGTATTCTTATGAATGGAATTTTACAGTTATTTGGGACAAAACAAAGGTTATTGTTTTTACGAACGGCGGAAAACTTTCAAAAAGGGAGGAAACTAGAAACTACAAACGTATACTACCCATCAAAAGTTTAGACTCACTTAAAGTAGTCCTATACTACCCATCAAAAGTTTAGACTCACTTAAAGCAGTCATATACTACCCATCAAAAGTTTAGACTCACTTAAAGCAGTTCTATACTACCCATCAAAAGCTTAGACTCACTGAAAGCAGTCCTATACTACCCATCAAAAGCTTAGACTCACTGAAAGCAGTCCTATACTACCCATCAAAAGTTTAGACTCACTTAAAGCACTCACTATATGTTATGTATATATATGTATGGTTACATCGAAGATGAATTTTTCCACTGACTATGCAGATAACTAATTGCACTAGGATCATGCATCAAATTGCTGAAATGCATGTGCAAATATCGTGCATGTGAACAGCTGAGTTTTTGTGTAAAGTTTTGTTAAGAATTCTCCAATGTTTACGGAGTTTCATCATTTACTGAAATCATGACAATACTCTTTTCCATGTTACGAATTTGTCTTACAATACATCTGTTCATATGTAAACAGTACTTTTAAACAGTATGGAATATTTTGCAAAATCTAGTTTAGAACAGTTGACTGAAGTAAGTGGCTACATTTACACTAGTGAGTCTAAACTTTTGATGGGTAGTATATAAGTTATGCACATATATATGGTTACATCGAAGATGAATTTTTCCACTAATTTTGGGGAATCAACTGCAAACTTTATGGACGTGAATTGCACGATGATCAAACATCAAATTGCTGAAAAGCATGTGCAAATATCGTACATGTGAACAGCTGCGTTTTGGTGTAAAGTTTTGTTAAGAATTCGCCAATTTTCACAGAGTTTCATCATTTCTTGAACTCATGACAATAATCTTTTCAACGTTACGAATTTGTTTTACAACACATTAGTTCATGTGTACACAATACTATTAAACAGTATGAAATATTTTGCAAAATCTAGTTTAGAACAGTTGATTGAAGTAAGTGGCTACAGTTACACTAGTGAGTCTAAACTTTTGATGGGTAGTATATATAAATATCTTGAAGTCTATTTTTCTCACCATCTTTCTTAGATTAACCACACAGAACAAGCATCTGGTTTTGATAAATATAATTAGAAATATCCGTACTTTGGAGGAATTCATCCTTTAAAATATTTGATGTAAAAGTAAGCCTAATACTATTATACGGATAAGAAGTATGGGATTATGAATCAATAGAAAAATCAATTTATATAGCTTACAGAACGTATCTCGGAGTGAAATCTCGCACATGTAGCACTATGTTTTTTGGCGAGTGTGGCAGATTCCGATCATGCAAATATTCTATTAAAGTTATAAAGTATTGGTTACGATTGTTAACTATGCCATTCTATAGATTTCTAAGAAATGTTATAACATGATGATAGTATATGATACAAAATGGGGGGGGGGGGGAATTCGGTAACTAATGTTAGGGAATTTCTATTCAAATCGGTTTACTGTCATCCGATAACAGTTTATTATGTTCTAAATTTATTGCTTTTAATATTGATATAATTTCAATTGTTCTGGGCACGATATGACTGAAACATTGCCGATGCGACGTTAAATATTAACTCACTCACTCACTCACTTACTATTCAAAACGGGACAAGGTTATGTTTGGAATAATCAAAACGTCCAACTAGAGAAGTATTTCATCAGTCACTGACTCAAAAAAATTAAAAAAACATCTATCAACAAACAAGACTTTAATCAATCTATCTCTCCTCTAAATGGCTGTAGGGGCGGTGGGGTAGCCTAGTGGTTAAGGCGTTCGCTCGTCACGCCGAAGACCCGGGTTCGATTCCCCACATGGGCACAATGTGTTAAGCCCATTTCTGGTGTCCCCCGCCGTGATATTGCTGGAATATTGCTAAAAGCGGCGTAAAACCAAACTCACTCACTCACTAAATGGTTGTATTATAAACAATGGAAATTTGAACTATGTCAAGAATAGTATTTATCAAAGATCACTGTAAAGAAATTCCGTGTAGCCCGTTTTCGCTGTTCATCACATGATTTGTTTGTTGAAACTGAGCGTTATGTTCATATTCCACGTAATCATAGAATTTGTAACCTCTGTGCATAACGTTAATACGGTAGAACACGAATACCAATTTCTATGTATCTGCCCCGCTTAGAAATACCATTTTCTATTTATCTGATAACCTTAGAAAGAAATATTTAACATCTTAATATTATACACATCCTAATGGAATAAAAGTGACCATGCTGTTCACAAGTGAAAAATACTATTGAATTACAGAACCTGTCAATCTATATCTATTTTGCATTTATACATAGAAAATCTGTTTTGAATTTGTAATCTGTAAATATTTGAGAAATAAGTAAATATCTGCTGCTCAGTTGTAAGTATTATGAATATACATGTAACATAGATCCGAGGCCTCTTAAGTATGGAATGAAGATTGATTGATTGATATACAAAAGATTTCCAGAAATTAAAATTGGAATAACCTTCGGCAGACAGCAGCAACGACATGCAGGGAGATCTTTTATTCAGATGAAGAACAAATGAAAGTTTGCTTCGAACACCTGGAAAATCGATTATCAGATGCAAAGACGCATGGGGAGAACCGTCCGTTGAAAATTCAAGACTTACAAGAAAATAGTGTTCCACCAGTTGAAAAAGCTATGTTGAGCGCCGGGATGATGTACAGGCGGCTGTTGGTGACAACAATATTCCAGCACAGGCCCTGAAAAATGGTACAACTATTGACATATTGCAAAGGAGACAAGCATTGTCACTTAGGTGACATAATACCCAGCCGCAAATTATCAAATCAAACTTAAAAAGTAATGAAAGTTTAAGATGAAGTTAAGTGTCAACAAAAACATGACCAGTCAACCTCTCTTGATATCTTGCTCTTTAGTTGTTCAAACACACAAATATTTTCAAGACTGACTTTGACCTTGATATGAATGCCATAGTGTATGAAATATGCAAAAATGGTACTAAAGAAATTGCTTATTGAAAAACATTCAAGGGAAGTCTTGAAAGTCTGTGAAGAAAACCAAGTGAATTCAGGTTAACATGCTGAAATCTTCAAAGTGTCGCAGTGACCTTGAAAATTACGTGAAGGTCACCAAAATTCACTGGGCCCTGCATCTCCATTAAATGAAGCTTGGTGTCAAACATGAAAAAAATCCAGTGAATGTTTTTTGCGACATCTTGCTGACTATCCTAACATGAAATTTAACATACCGAAATCTTCAAAGTGTCTTTGTGACCTTGAAACTTAAGTGAAGGTCGCCAAAATCGACTGGGCCTTGCACTTACCACTTACACTTAGTCCAGGGAATGGTTCTTGAGATATCTCGCTGACCATCTTAAAATGTAGGTTAACATACTAAAATCTTCAGAGTGTCGCTGTGACCGTGAAAATTTAGTGAAGGTCACCAAAATCGACTAGGCCCTGCGCCTTCCCTGGATGAAGAAGGGCGTCAAATATGAAGAAAATCCAGAGAATGGTTCTTGAGGTATCTCGCTGACAAGCATAACATGCAGGTTAATATGCTGAAATCTTCAGAGTGTCGCCATGACCTTGAAAATTACGTGAAGGTCACCAAAATCAATTGGGCCCTGCGCCTTCCCTCGATAAAGCTTAGTGAATGGTTCTTGAGATATCTCACTGACAAGAGTAAACGTTAAAGTCCCCTTGTGACCTTAAAATTAAGGTCATAGTCACCAAACCTGACTGGGACCTTTCTTATACTGTGATGAACCTAGGCACCAAATATGAAAATCTAGTCAACGGTTCTTAAGATATTCCAATTCATACGGACGGACGGAGCCGAATACACTAAACGCGCGGCGGGGGATAAATATTTGTTTCCAAAATGGATGTATTTTTTATTTAGGATGCAAGGAATAATGATGCGGCACCTTGTTCCACTAAAATAAGGCAACCGTGGGCACCTGGAGTTATCACTTGAACGTCAGTGCCAGACGTACTAACAAACGTCTTAACGCTGGTGCGTAGTACAGGGCGTGGTACTGAAAACACTAACATCTTCAAGAACGTTAAGCCGTGAGACCTTGGTCGAAGGACAGAAGGGATTTGTCCACAAAGATCAGAGACTGTTTAATCGTCATGTTGCCTGGCCGTCAGATGGCTTTGTGTACCAGTCAGTTCCACACAGCAATGACATTGCTGTTTCGAAAAAAAAGGTACTATACATTGTAAAAAAAGTGTTACCACGTAATCAAATTGTATTACATTCAACCTTAGTCTGTCACCTTCCAAATGCCATCTTTTTCAACAAAACTGAATCGTATATGTACATCTTGCTAGCCATCGGTGAATGTGACGGTATTCTACGTTTGCTACTTAATTCCTTCATACATTGTACAATACATGTCCCTCCTCTTCAACACTCACTTTGATGTCGAAACCATATTCAAATAAGTAGTAGAGAGAAAGACAGTCCGGGACCAGTTCCAACAAAAGCCTCTGCAAAGCCTTATTTACCAAATAAGGCTTTTGTCGGACCCTTAGCTCTTGCTACCATTTCCCCTACTATGAAAAAGTTTGAGACGCTAGCGGGGTACGAACGCACCTCACAACCGCACCACTTAACTACCAGAGACATGGCTATGCCGTGTTGACAGGAGGTAACATTGTGCCGTACGGTACGATCAATAATTCCGCTCTTACAAACCCCCTACCTGGCCCATCCCTCAAGTAGTACAAGTTAGGCTCGTCTGCTTTGATGTCCACTTTATCTATGTTGTAAGTTTTGACTGACCATATAGGATCAGTGGCTCGCTTACGGCTATCACCCTCGTGTTCCCCCGGCTGGTATAGATACCTCACTAGGGCCCTATCTGGTATCTGTTTCTCCTTCCCACGCAATGGAGCAGCCGGCTCTGCAACTATTGATTTTAGTTTGATAGCGTCTGCCGGTTTCTTATCAGTGAGCCGGGTGACTTCATGGTTGATTGCCGACACCACCTTGGGTAACCTCGCGACCCATTCAGTCGATCGTTTTCCCGGGGTTACCATCTCCCTAGCATACTGATGCCCGAATAAGCGCTCAGCCAAAGTCCTATTAAATCTCTCAACTATGGCTTGGCTGCGATGGGCTCCGGCCGTACCATGACCTTTGTATCGTGTTTGGCTAGCACTTGTGACACGGCACCCATGAATTCCGTCCGGGGTCAACTTGCAGCTCTGTTGGCCAAGTCAGCGGACTGCGTTTGTATATGCGTTCGAATCCTCTGGCTACCTGGGCCGAATCTTTTACGGTCAAAGGTTCGGCTTCCTTTGTAGCGACTGGCTACGTCCACTACGGTTAAGGCATACTTGTACCTCTTGTGGTGGGGTAGGAACAGTAGGTCTGCCTGGTGAACGCTATTAGGTATGTTAATACCGAACCTCCTTCTAGGCACGTGGCGTGGTGCCGGCAAATAGATCTGCCACAGGGCTTGTTTTTCAAGCCACGCTTTGGCTTCCTCGGGGGTACTCGCGCCATTTTAGCCAGCTTATCTGGCAGCTAGCTCCTTTCCAGTACCCACGCTGGGCTATAGTAAATAGCCTCAAACTTTCTCTGGTTCCGTGACATGTTCAATTTTCTCATGCCCATACGCTGCACGTGTTTATCCCATCAATAGCTATCCAACGTTTAGTGTCCATAGGCGACAGGGACGTCTTGTTTATAGTCAGTCCGTATATCTTATGCCCATCACTTCTAAGTGTGTTCATTTTATGTCTAAAGGTACGGGTCTTGAACAGGGCTTCCTTGAATCTGGCGTGTTTGATGTGTTGTTTCACCACATATTTCTTAACACCCTTAGCCTTCCGGATTTCACCATTGTCGGCCTTCAGTATGGAGTACATCTTAGGCCTCAACCCTATGTACTCGGCTATGGGCGTGCCAGCACACTCATCCTTCATCTTACCTAGGACCTTTTTATTTACCGTACTGTGTATGGCATGGTCCTTGGGGTAGTCGCTGGTGTCATACAAATCGAGGTGTTTTTTCATGTCATCGTACACGTCCTCGGTTTGAATCTCCATCAGCAGGGAATCCGTGTCAGTGTACAGAACTTCACACCTGTCACCGTACTGTTTCTTAAGTTCTTTGTAGTAAAAGTCGTACATCAGGTGTTTAGATAAATCGAGGATGCTCATCTCCACATAAACAGGCCGGTTGAATTTTATGTGGCTTTTCTTCATGTGTAGGGCAACTAGGTCATCGGCGAATATCTTGCTACGGTTGAATGCCGGACTGGCTATCAGTCTCCTGAGCTTGTCTTCCTCATTCGACCGAACCAGCTTCACGGTCACGCGTTTCCTCAGGTTCTCCATAGTCTTACCAAACACCGAGTTGTTCATGAGTTTGTAGAGGTTTTTCTCAAAGTCACTGGTGGCAAGCTTTCGGAGGTCTGTGTTCATTCTGATGTAAGGCTCCATCCAGGGGCTCTGGTCGAACACGAGCACCCTGTGTATTTTGGTCAGCCTCATACCCAACGACAGGTACAGCTGTAGGTTGCGATAGTGAACGATGTACTTGGTCTTATTCATTAAGTTGGGCACGAGTTTTTCAACGTCTGTCACACGCCCACCTAACAAGTTATGTTGGTACTCAGACATCCAGTCTGGGTTAACCCTCATACGTTCGGGGGCCAGGGGGTAGCTGTTGTGTGATGTGTGTAATGCCTTGGGGTATTCCAAGTCAACCTCGAGGATATAACCTTTATTCGAATCTGGTGCGATGCTCATAACATCGACCTCATGTGACGCCCATTCGAATCCCCCTGTGGGTAGATACTGACTCATAGCCCATCCGTACAGGTTGTTGGCGTCGAGGTAGAGAATGTGATTGGTTGGCTTGCTAGGGTCGTAGCCCTTAACGTATTGATTATTTGCTTTCGCGTATCGTTTGGTTGCCATGGAGATCCCACCTGCATAGCCTTTCTCAATGAATAGGTGCATGTCATAATCTGTAAGCAATTCCAACTTAACTCCGGTCTTTTAAGCAAGGCATCCCACGACAGACCTGGGCTGGTGTAATACCATGCGGGTCGAGTTTATACTGCTTGAAACATGTCCGCCTTAACGTCTCAAACACGTCGGCTAACAGCAGTACATCTGTCCTCAAGTACAGGTCGTGATAGTCACCCAGGTTCTTACAACCTAGTTTATTCCATACGTTAATAGCGTGTGAGTAATCGTCTTGGGATATTTCCGAGTCTGTCAGATTGCTGTAAAATTCTCTGATGGGGGGTAGTCTGGTCTCGGCGAACTTGGCCCAACTATCCATGTACTCATAGGGGTACACACCCTTCCTCATAAGCAGGGGTCTAGTCTCGGCGTCTGTGTATCGGTCGGTGATAGGGAAGGTATCGTTGGCCTTGACCAGACTGTCTAATGAAGACAAGAGAAATTGTACTGAATCTATGAACCTAAGGCCGTTTAAGCTGAAGGAGATGTATCTCTCCATGTTGTTGGGGATGCACGTTATATTACCATCGATTTTCGCGATGGCCTGCATGATTAAGTGAGAGTCGTACCCTCTCAAGTTGTGAAAGACCACGGGGATGTTTACTGTCTTAGGGATGATTCTAAGCTTGAGGTTACACGCGCACTGTGAGCGCCTCTATACTTACGGTTACGTGGCAGTGATCTCTCACCGAATCACCATTCAGTGGTGAGTCACACACGTGACAGTTAGTGCTACAGGCGTGAGCTAGCCTGTCGGCTCGGGTCATACGCATGGGAGCGACTCTATACAGTGCATTCCTAATAATTTTTTCTTCCTCCTGCAAACACTTTAGAAACCTTTCAGCCGCGTCAGGGCCCCTAT